TAGTTATTACCAAATGATAATGCTGCGGTTAATCTCATTTTGATAAAACCTAGTGTTGATACAATGACGGTAATGATAATAATGATGAAAATGAAATCTCAGCAGTGGAATACGATGATCGCAATCAAAAAACGTGTTATCCGTTCACCGTTCTCGTGATCGGTAAACATCATCGGTATCGTGACAACTTCATTGAGTGATCATCACTATTGATCACTTCATTGTTTTGACCTCCTCATTAACACTGCGTTGAATATTCATCACTGTATATCACAACTTGCATTTGTTATTATCACTGTCATGAACGTGATCAATATTATTAACAGCTTCCGTGATATTCTTTCCATTATCGTTACCATCATCGTTTTTTCTTGTTATCGGTACTCGCATTCTGACTATCATTATGAATATGAAAATTGATGTCAGCGAGAATCGTCACGAATGAAAATTCGGTCATTACGAACACGTCAGTGCACCGTGTTCGAGCGAAACGATCTGCTAAGCGATGGTGTTTTGTTGATTTCAAGAAGAAGTTATTTCAGGTGTATAGGATCATAGGAAAAAGTTATTTGAAGCAACGATGTTCGAAGAACTCATGGAAAGTGCGATGTGTTGCTTCAACAAAATAGCACCTGATAAAGGTGGTGGTATTAAAGTGATGAAGCCCTCATTCGAGCAAAACACATCGAATCAGATTTTGAGACTTGAACCTAATGCTTTGGACAAGATTCATTTGGAGGATGCATTCCCACAGTTTGTTGTACGTTTATCTATATGCTCTTATTTATTACTACTGTCGTTATTGATCGCGCACCTATCAAAGATATTATTATTAACAATATTATGAACACTAATTTTAGTGTTATTATAAAAGTTTTAATAATAATCATCATAAGATCATTCTCACACCTTCCACTGTCCTTATACTTTTCCACTTAATCGAGCGATGATTTCAGGCCGAACTGGATTTGAGTCCTGAAAAGCAAAAAAGTCTGTATGAGCAACCAATCGAGAAGAAATGGCTTTTGCTCACCGAGCAAAGTATTATTCGGGTGAGTGGCAATTTCGTTTAAATGTAACCAATCTTTAAATATGTTCACTAATAAGGATTCCTAATCAAAAGATATTCCGAAACTTTAAAACTCACAAATCGCAACTGAATTTGCTATTGTCTCAAATTCACTGCCATTCAGTTTGAGTTGAATATGGGAAAAGTTTTCGTGTTAAAGTTGGACAGAATCAAATTGTCCCTATGTAGACCACCGGAAGCTTGCTGGCTCGTAAGATCATTTGGATGTTTCAGAACAAGTTTGAACTTGGTGGTTTGAAGTCATGCGCTGAATTCATGAATATCTTGAGCGATCAAGAAAAGAGTTTTACAGAGACCGAAGAGGTGCTAAGCAATCTTGAATCACTCTCTGTTGCACTTCGTACTCAATCAAACAGGTGAGCGCTTTGTGTATTTGATCTTTTGCGATCTCAAATGCGATCATTTGCACTCAATTACATATGAGAGACCAGTGCGTCGACTATGTAATAGACAATTGATGGGGAGCTGTTAAATGTCATGAAGTGTTTTCTGATCATGAAAAATAATTCTCACTTGATGGAACTACCAACTCATAGCTATTCGCTGAATATGTTTGCTAATCGTAACATGTCTTTGGCATAAGAGGGGTTCGATTAGACGCAAAATATCGCAAAATGCATATAATTAATTGATGCAACACGTAATCAGATGATTCGGCTGTTATTCCTTAAGATAATTTCGTACATTCCGTATCCGTATCGTTGCAGTTTCGTTGAGAAATTCATCACATTCGGTGGTATCGCAAGTTTGAGAAATATTTTGAACGATTGTCGTCGACTGTCGGGTCGAGATTTCTATGCGGCAGCTGTCCTATCATCGTTTAGAGCACTCCTCAATTCGACGGTTCGTATC